ATTTCCTCCGAGGTGGCCACGGACCATGAGCTCCAGGCTGTCCTGCTGACCTGCCTATACCTCTCCTATTCCTACATGGGTAATGAGATCTCCTACCCACTCAAGCCCTTCCTGGTGGAGAGCTGTAAGGAGGCATTTTGGGACCGCTGCCTCTCCATTATCAATCTCATGAGCCCCAAGATGCTCCAGATTAATGCTGACCCCCACTACTTCACTCAGGTGTTTGCCGACCTGAAGAATGAATGCAGTCAGGAGGACAAGAATCGGCTCCTTATCGGACTGGACCGGTGAATTCCACTCACACGTGTGCGGCTTATGGGAACAGTACATTTTTTTAATTTATTATTAAACGCAAAGTTTTGTGAACATATGTGTCTAGCAAAGCCACTGAAGGGCCTCCCTATTCTTGGCCTCCCCCACCCTGGTTTAGTCCAGCCCTGGTCCTTAACTTCTGACTCTCTGGGGAGCATTTTTTTTTGGGGGTCTGGGAACCTTTTGCAAAGTTTAGGTGATGATTTCCAAGTTGTTTTCTGGCCACCGAATCCTTGCTCTCCGTAACTTCTAAGTACTGGCTATCCTTGCCCCTTATTACACCCCCTTCGCCCCCTCCCCTTTGCCTGGTCCTGGGAATGGGGTGAGGTGAGGAGGTATTGAACTTTGAGATGGAGAGGCCTTAGCTTATCTCACAAGAGACCCCTTGTCCTAGAAATAGATCTTACTCTTCCTGGCTGAAGTCCCCTTACTCACCCAGCTCTACCCCTATCCCCTCGTGCAATCCCAGGGAGGGGGAGGAATTCATTTCCCCAAATGGCAGCTGTGTCCTGAATGACTGGGGGCTCCTCCCAAGGATATCAGCCTGGGCCTTGCTAATACAGTGAACTGGAACTTGTCAGTTCCTGGCTGCCCTGGAACCAACTTGTAGCCCACATCACTCTAATTAGCAGAAAATGGCTGCTAGAGGGAAGAAAATCAATCTTGAATTTTTTTAAACCTTATGTTATTATGCTGGGTGTTTTTGGGGAAATTTCTCAGAGTGGGAAAAGGGAAGGCCTGTAATTTAGAGTTCTACCCTCCCTGTCCTGCTTCTTATTTATCCCAGGCCCTAGGTGTTCACACCTGTCTAGTGAAGCTGGTCAGGCTCATTAGACTATCTGGATTATGGGTAGCAGCTTCCTGAGTCCCAGGACACAGTCCCTGGGACTCTGCTTAGGGATACCTTCTTTTTTTTTTGGAGAATAATTTATCTGAATAATGCCACTGAGTTACCTTGTGTGTCATACCTATGGATGGGGGATACTGCTCTAGCTGCCTGGCAGCAGCCTGGCTCCCTTGAGTTGGTGCTTAGCTCAGGACGGGGGCCACTTGCAGGTCCAAATGGCACAGGGCCTGCAGAGCTCAAGCAGCTGGTTCAATTGATCTGGGCTGGCCCTGGTGTCAAGGTGCCTCACTCTCCCCCTCCCCCCTGCCAATTTCAAGTTGTTTCCAAACAGCTTGTATGAAGCCCCCACAGGCCCCAGGATGGGAACTGGATCTCCTAGACAATTATGAAATCGGGACTCACACTCTAATTGCTTCTGGAGCCTGTTCAGTTGACAATGTGTCATCCAAAACCACTGGTCCTCACCTTTTCCAGTGGCTGCCATGGACACCACATTTGTGACATTGCAGGTGCTTGGCCCCTTAAGGTATCTTTAGTAGCTCGGGTCATTAGGGACAATGAGAGGAGGAAGCAGGTCTGTTTCAGTAACCCTTCACCCTGGCCGTGAGAAACAAAGGTGACTAACACTACAAGATGTTCTTCTCTTTGGCCTGGCAACCCAGGGGGAAGGTTCGCCCTGTTGGTGCTGGAATTCGTCCACAATGGGAGATAAAGGGTCATTTTGTGTAGGGTTAGGTAGAACACTTAATTAGATGGTTGCTGGAGTCAGCAGCAAGCAGTTCTGGAGTGAAAAGTCAAAATGGATTTTTTTTTTAACAAAAAAAAAAGGAAAAAAAGGAAGAGAAAGCTGTGAAATCGGCCTTTGTCTTATGATGTCTGGAGCAGGCAGCCAACTTGAGTCAGCCTGCGGTGCCCAGATTGCACAGGTAAGGAAGGAGAGCGTCTGCCCAGCCTCAGAAGTGAGGCCTAAACTGAGCCATTAACGTGGACTGGAAGATATTCTTTGGATGAGGAACTGGAAGAAGGAGCCTCTGCAAAGTGACCAGCACGACGCCCAGCTGGACAGCTGGAGTCTCCCTTGATTGACTTTTTCTGTGGTTTATTCCCCAAAGGAAGGAACTTTGGGTGCCAAGTAACTGAAAGAAGAATGAAGGTGACTTGTTTTTAATCCCAAGTCGGGCTAGCTGAGCCTGGACTGAAACTCTCTGGTTGAGCTCCTTTGATTGGATTCCGGTTTGGGGTCTGTTCATCCTTCTCTTTCCCTGTATTTATTTATTTTTTTTTCCCCTAGGGGAGGAGGAGGAGGCAGAGGTGCAAGTTTCAGAGGTGGTTGGGGCCTAAAGGAAAAAGATTCAACCATGTAGTTAAATCATTGTAAAGTATATTGTTCCCTGCCCCTCTCCTTCCCTGCACCGATCACCAGTGTTGTGTAAAGGACCAACTGATATACTTGAGTGTGCAAGCAATGAACACGACTGACATGCTGCTATGAAGAATACTTTTAGAACAAAAAGAAAAAAAAAGAAAAAAAGAAACTAACCGACAAAAAAACAAAAACAAAAACAAAACCAAGACAACCCCTTTCTTCTTTGTTGCTTTTACAGTGATCTTGTGCATGCAAACAGGCACATTTTGTGTCTTCAGAAAATAATCTTAGAACAGATGGCTGGGAACATGTACACCCATGCACAAACCAAGTCAGAGGAATCTCTCTCAGTATCTGGTTTCTCTCCTTCCCCCCCCCCTTCTTCTTCCTATCAGCCCTCGGGGGGGATCGATGGATTTCTTACCATGCAGTTTTTAGGGTTCAGTTTGATTCCAGCGATTGTTAAACTTGCAACGGAAAAAAAATGTGCCGTTTCCCCCCTTCTTCCCTTGCCTCCCCGACTTGAAATGATCCACAGCTGTATATTTGAAACTGCTAATTGCCCATGTGCGTGTGGTGTATGTTGGTTTCTTTTTTAGTGCAATTTCCTCTGTAGATCTCCTTTGACCAAATTGTGGGTGTTGTTAATATTAATTTATATTTGTCTCATTTTGTATGTATGTGTAGCGTGTTTGTAAGTATGTGTGGTTTATAATCTGACAAAGTCATGAAGCTCAGTCTGGCTGTAATTTAATTCCCTCCCCTTATTTTTATTTATTTTTGTACCGTGCTGATTAAATAAAATGCACTGACCATCCATGATGCAGCCCCAGGCCCCTCTCTGTGGTTGGTTATTCAAGGTGTGTGTATGGGTTGGCTTCAATCTAGGGGGAGGGAGTGACTCCCAGGGAAAGGAGGGGACATAATTATACTGGCACACCCTCAGTCCCTGGGCTTTGATATTCGAGGCAAGAGGGCTTGAATGGAGAAGCAGGATCTCCAAGTGGACAGGAAAGCAGGAAGGGGGGGGTTTCTGAGAGATTTGACCTGGAGCCAAGTGGGAGTGAGGGACATCCCCATGGCTAAGCAGCTGTTAACAAGGTTTAAGGGCTGGCTCCACTCAGCCTGATGGGGGAGGAGGGAGGGTGACACTTGTGTCTGCCTCCCATTCTGACACTGAGGTCCCTGCTCCAGGTGCTGTTTGCTCATGCCATTTCCTGCTTCCCGGGGAATTCTCCATATGAATTGGGTTTGAATCTTTTTGCTATGGCCCTCCTGGGTCTGTCAGTTCCATTCAACTGATCCTTGTGAGACAAGCTAAGATCAAGGTCTGGGAGTCCAACTAAGGCCCTATAAGCTGGCAATGTCTCACTGGAGACCCAGAAGGTTTCAGGATCTGTGATCATGGCCACATTTCAAATCCTGATAGCAAAAATAGGGATAAAGAAAAGCCCTGCTTTTCTTTTTCCCAGGTTCTAATAGCAATCATCTGCTCAAAGTTAGATCTGTCCTTACAACATTTCGATGAAAATCATCCCTATACTTCAGGGAAGAGAACCAAGGGAGAATTAAGAGCCCTCTCATCTTTTTTCCTGCAGGCCCAGCTCCCTGGTGGTGGCTGGTAATAGCAGCAACTGAGGAACTCCCCCTCCCCTCAGCATCCCCACTCTGGGCACTAACACAGCTGGATGGCACTGATGCCCCCCCATCTGAAAGGCACAGGAGAAGGCGTTTCCTGTCCTACGGCCTGCCAGTCAGAGAGCCGTGATGGTCTTTTGTCTGCAGAACCACTGGGCTTTCCCAAGGCTATCCTCATTACTTCATATAACCGAGGGAGGGAGGCTAGGCACATGTGGTCTTCTCTCTGGGAGGGAAGGAGTGGCACTGAGTTCCCTACTGGGCATAGATTACCCTGCTGGTTCTGTGGCAGACCTAGGAAGATGTTTCAGCTCATTCTGGCCCCCCCCCCCAGTTTTTCTCCTTCAACCTCATAAAGTTTGGTTTATTTGCTTTTCCCGCTTCCCCTTTGTGCCCACTTTGCATTGGTAGGGGCTACAAGGTGGTGGCCTGGCCTTGTTCCAAAGTCTTCGCTGGTGTTCTGGGAGAAGTGCGCTTTTCAAATGGGTCGTTGCCACAGAGCAAAGGATAAGGAACTGGAAAGTGCCCATTCAGAGGAGACGCCTCAGCAAGGTGGAAGACAAACTTCTGAATTTAGCACTATCTTGATTGTCTAACTTGGTTTTGCCATTCAATCTTTTCATTCCAACGCCCTAGACCAATTCTCCATTTTATGTAACCTGCCTTCCAAAGTCCTTCAGCTGACCTGGAGCTGGCCAGCTCCTGAAGGGTCAGTCTGACATCATTTGTTTTTGTAGCCCCAGTGCCCGGTACAGAGTAGGCACATAGTAAACATTTGTTGCTCTAGAAGACCCCACCCCTACCCCCATTTAAAAATGACACAGAACTAGAACAACCTTAAAAATAAGATTCAATGCTTTATTGCTCTTCGTGGTGAATCAAAATAGGCTTTGGAAATAAAGTTAATTTAATGAAAAATAGGAATATATGCACCAACAAAAAAAACCTGCATTTAATTTAATCAAGAGAAACACTTCATTACATACAATCACCATATATATCCCTTTCCTCTCCCTCCTCCTCCCTCCACCACTGCCCAGATGCCAAGGCATTATCAGAGCTCCAACTTTGCCCTTCAGTCACAGTTTCCTGCGACCTCTTTTTGCAGCAGATCAGAAGCATGAGCTCATCGGACAGCCAGGCACTCCCCTGGCCCTCACTGCGGCGGTCCTAGGCTGGGGTGGGGACTCTGGCGCTGGGCCAAGAGAAACAAAATAGATCTTCCAAAAGAAGGGCCTCCCTTTATTTTTCTTGTCAAGAAGAATTAAAAATAAAAATCTGAAAGGCCTCCTTCACCCCCGGCCTTGAAGACGGCTCGTTTGGCAAGTTTTAGGAGACTTTAACAAACGCGTAGTTCGAAGTAAGATACTTGGGTGAATATATGGAAAGGAAGGAGAAGGTTATCATCGGTCTGTTCTACAGGCATCTACAGGTAATCGGCACCACTGAGAGTATTGCTGAACTCGGTATCAGGTGCCCGCTATTAAAGCAGCTGTGAGAGGCTTGCCTCTATTTGCCAATGTTTGATATGGCTTCTTTAATAAGATTAAAAAAAAAAGGAAGGCAACAAGGAGAATGCCAGTGGGAGCCCTTGTGGGGGAATCCCACACAGTGCAAATGCAGGTGGGCACCTTTGGGGCGGACCCCGTGCAAGGGGGACAAGCTGGAACCAAGGGAATTTAGGGAGCGGGACCTCAGGTTGGGCCAAGGCACCGGCAGGCACTGGCGACTTGCCGCTGCTCCCTTCCCTCTGGGCTGCACAGGGGAACTTGGCTTGTCCTTTGTGGGGTCGGAGGAAGGCTGGGGGATGGGGAAAGGATCTAGAGGAAACAGGAGTGAGTGGCTAAAGAGAATCCCAAATACGAGCCCTTCCCCCCTCCCCCAATCATCCAAGCTCCTAGGGGCAGAGTTCACTTATTCTTGCTCCAAGATGGAGTCCCCAGTTTTTGCCTTCCTTTTGAGATGCTAATGAACCATCCTTCCCTGGGTAAGCTCATACCTCAGCACTCTTTTTTTTTTTTCAGTGACACGTGAGAATGCTCAGCCCAGGGAAGTGCTCCTCTCTACCGATCTGATCCCAGGTTTGTGCCACTCCCAGGACAACAACCATTTCTTGGCTTGGCCGGCTTAGAAAATAAGATATGTAGTCTTGGGAGGGCTTTTCTCCCTGCTTAGGCCTGATATGCATATACTTTTAGCTGGGCACAGAAAGGCAAAATGGTTGCATTTCTCTACTCTAGGGATCTTTGCCTGGTTTCATATTATCAGGCTTTGTGCAGCATGAAGGGTGGGAGTCCTGGCCTGGCCCGCAGTGCCAGGATCCATCACTAATCTCTAATTATTAATTACTTATTAATCTCCCCACTTTCCATAATCCCATAATGCCACTTCCTTCCCACCACATTCATATATCTCAAAATAAGCCCAGTATACAATCAGATGTACTAAAAAAAGGCTCCCAACCCCCTGAACCCCTCTGGCCCCTAACCTACACCTCTCATCAGTACTGACAAAAAGTGTTTTACAGAAAAGGCATCTGATGAAGAAACTCTCACAACAGTAAAAGTAAGGGCTGAGACAGGTTATATGTGCAACACAGAGAAGGGAATGCTTGGTTAACTAAAGAGAATGGTTTTTAGCATAACACACTTCTCCTCCACTGGACAGGTGATAGAGAAGGCCTCAGTGGGGTGGGGCAGCCGCCCAGGTACAAGCATGATAGATAGGCAGGTGGTGCAAAGTGCAGAATCCCTAAATCCGACCTTTTGTGTCCTGGGCTGGGAGAGCCGCCTTGCCGGGAGATTTGGAACTGGGGGAGACCTTGGCTTTTGGGTTCTGAACACGATGGCCTGCTGTTGGGTGGTGCTAGGGAAAGGCAAAGCCCACGTGCAGGGCTTTCAGCCTCCCATCAAGCCTCCGGGCCCGGAGATAAGTGTCCCAGGCAGACATTCCTGAAGGCACAGCTGACGTTTGAGTCGGGGGATGTGAGGATCAGAGGCCCTAGCCAGGTAGGCACCACTCAGTTCCAGGTCTGAGCAGGTTACATTCCCAATCCTTTGGTGCTGTTCTCTAAAGAACACCCTTTTAAGATGTGGGGCTCCTTCTCCCCATCCTTTTACAGGGTTGCATCATGCTCACTAGTTAGAAGTAGCAACCTGAGCAGTCAGGGGAAGGCTTTAAGTTACTCTTGAGTTGCCAATGTGATTTGGTTGTTAGCCTTGGTGCTGTGGGTGAGCCTCCCCCCCCCCCCCAGCTCTTTGGTTTCTCTAGTGGAGGTGACAGAACATTGGGAAAGAGGAAGTGGAGGATAAAAGGAAGCCAGAAGAAGAAAAGTTCCCTCTCGGGAGTGGTCATGGGTCAATGGAAGGAGGGGTGAGGGGGAGGAAAGAGAAGGTACAGTCAGAGCGCTCTCCCCCCGAAAGCCCATTCTGAGTTCATTCCTAGTCAGGTTGCCTGAACCACATTAGCAGGCGATTCAGCAGATTAGATTTGAATCTATTATGCTTAGCAAGGACAAAAAGCTTCCTGGGAGTCTGCTCCCTAGCCTCCAGGCGATGGGGGTGTAGGGCAGCAAGCCTCTGCTGAGCTGATTGAAACCTCCCCCCCCCCCCCCCCCCCCGGCCAAGGTCTCTGTCTCTCTCCAGCTTGGGGGCTGCCAGCTAGTTCCCTGGCACACTGAGAGTGAAGCCCGAGCGGTTCTTGGTGAAGTCGGGCTCCGGCTGGTTAATGCGTGTTTCCACGGAGACGGTGCACTTCTTGCCATGCAGGCTACACTGAACGGGGTTGTTGACGTTGACTTGTAGGTGTCGTTTCTCACTGAAATGACAAAAAATCAAAAACCGCACACACATCAGACAGGCAGGCTTCCAAGTCAATGTTACCTCCCTCCCAGCCTTGTAGCCTTGGCAAATCCCCGCCCTGCCAATGCTGAACAGCCCCTTTGGGGAGGAGAAGGGCCCCTGATAGACTGCGCGGAGGCAGGTGGGCTCCCAGCAGGCCTTGGAAATGCTAACAGCCCCGGACCTCAGGGGGAGGATGAGCAGGAGGGAAGGTCAGCCACTGAGCCTCTCCGTTCAGCCATCTCCAAAGGGAATCTGGGACGGAAAGCCTCCGTCTGCCCCGCAGTCAGGTTCCAGAAAACACCCAAGGGTTAACCGAGGATGTGCAGTGAACTGGAAATTGCTCCAGCCTGTCTGATGGAGAAGGAGGCTAACACCGACAGTGCATTTCTGGTGGAGATTCACACATGGGTTTGCCATCTGACTGGGATGCAGCCTGGGTGGGAGCAGAGCCCTGTGGGGCTCCAGATGGCTTTTTTTTTTTCCTGGAGAGGGGAGGGGAGCCGATGTAAGGATCACTTCTACTTACATACATACACACACACACGCAGAACAGTCACACTCATGTCTTTTTTTAGCCAAATAATTTTGTCTCTTCCACCTCCTCCCAACTGCCTGGCCTTGCTCTGCAGACAAAAACTAGCTATGCCCATCCTTGTCTCAAGCCTTTTGCCCTCCCACACTGGAGCTGGGCCAAACAAATGGGGTGGGCCCACAGTTGCATGGAAAGATAGGAAGAGGTCAGGTGACCGATGGCCCATTTTGTTTCCCAGTCCAAGGCCAGGGCAATGAGCCCTGCTTCTTTCTCCCTCCTTGCTCCCCATATAACAGCTGTGCTGGGAGTTACAGATCTATTTTTTGCCCCTGGTGGAGGCCCTGTTGATGTTGAATTGTTGGCTCAGTCAAGCTTTCTCTTAGCTGCTGAGATGCCCCAGTTAGACTTGAGGTGGAAGAACTGAGAAAAACAGCCCTCTCTGCCTTGGCTACCTTCTTGGGGTACAAAGAAGGCACCTCCCCATCACTGAATTTACTTAAGAAGCTGTCTGCTTTAGAAAAAGACAAAGAAACTTGTCAAAGTGGGCTGAGACCCAATATTTACTATCGTCAGGTAGAGGCCCAGGTGAGCTAGCTGGGGTCCTACCTTCTCTGAGATGCTCAAGGGGAGCCCAGAGACATATAGGTCTCAGGTGGGTGACTTGGGTGGCCTTGAGTTTGCAGGATAGGACCTTTCTTGTGTGTGTGAAGGCAATTGGGGTGAAGCGACTTGCCCAGGGTCACACAGCTAGTAAATGTCTGAGGCTGGATTTGAACTCTGGTCCTCCAGGGCCAGTCCTCTATCCACTGCACCACTTAGCTGCCCCCAGTGTAGGGCCTCTTAAAGACACGACTCTGACATAAGACACTGTCTATGATTATTTGTGTGTTTTCTATATGATATGTACAAATATATATAGGGCACATCCAAGCCAGGTCTTCCTCTGGGTGTTCATCTGGACTCCTTGAACTGAATAATGGGGTGCAGAATAGGTAGGGGCCAGGCACTATGCAGAACAACAGGGATACAAGTGCAAAGAATGAAACAACCCCTGCCTACGATGGGCTTCCATTCTAATGGAATTAACCAATGGTCCTTGTCTTGAGTCTTACCCCCCAGGGAGTCTGCAGTGACAGGGAGCTTTTGGACAGCTCACAATGCTAAGAAGTTTTTCCTTTTGTCAAACCGGCCACGGTGCTACTGGGTCTTCTCTCTAGAGCCAAGCTGAATAAATCCAGTCTCTTTCCCCACATGACATTCTGCCTTCATGGTTCCCTTAAAGCTACTTTGAGCTGGGCCAAGCATTCCCAGTTTTTTCAGTTGATTAATTATCTCAGGCCATCCTCTTACCATCCCAGTTGCCCTCTCTTCTGGATATACTCTAACTCGTCAAAGTCCTGCCTAAAACATGGTGCCCAGAAGTGAACAAAGTGCTCCAGTTGTGGTCAGACTAGGGCAGAATATTAGTGGGGCCTTTTACACCCTAAACACATTTATGTAGGTAGTGAGTAGAGTCAGGAAGATCTGAGTTCAAATATGGCCTCAGACACTTATTAGCTGTGTGACTCTGGGCATGGACAAATTTTTTTTTCTTTTTGGCTTAAAAACTTTTTTGAAAATTAAATTTCATTTTTTTTTCAGTTAATGAAAGTGGACCTTCTTTTCTTCCCCCTCCCCCACTGAAAAAAAGAAATAAAAACAAAACTCTCATGACAAATATGGATTGTTGAGAAAAATAAATTTTCTGGGCAAGTCATTTAACCATTGCCTGCCTCAGTTTCCTCATCTGTAAAATGGGGTTAGCAAATAACATCTACCTCCCAGGGTTGTTGTTAGCACTGAATAATATTTATAAAATTCTTTTTAAACCTTAAAGCACTATATAAATGCTAGCTATCATTATTATTATTAAGGTAGCACTACTATTACTAATTATATTATTAATTATTACAGTTATATAGAGCTTTAAGGTTGGAAAACATCCTATAATGGGGGTGAGGAAACTGTGGCCTCGAGGGCCAAATCCCTTTAATTTAATTAATTAAATAATTAATTTAATTTACAAGGGATTTGTTCTGTGAAGTCTCAATTCGGTTAAAGGGCTGCCCTTGAGGACCTAGAGAGCCACATGAGGCCTCGAGGCTGGGCAGGTTCCCCACCCCTGCCTCCCACAGATCATTTCATTTGATCACTTTAAACAGGCTAACTCCACTGAGCGTCTGTGATGGGGAGGATGCTGGGCTGGGTATCAAGGTGGAGACAGTGGTTACAAATAACACCTAGTTTCTGCTCTCCTCAGGCTTCTTGCTCAGTAGCTTTCGCTATCACCCTAGGCCGACCTGACCATTGTGATGGAGCGTTTGGGTCTGCAAGTCATCAATGGCCACTTCTGCTGCAGCCAAACAGGCCCACTGTAAGGAGCTGACCTGCAGGGAGTCACTCAGGGCGAGTGGAAGGCATCACAAATGGCGGCCAGGCTGTGTATCATGACTACGTGGATGAGTGTTCCACTGGGTCTTGCTGAGAGTAAAATGATTGGAAAGCGACCAGCTCCCCAAACCGTCTCCAGCCAGTGTTCTACTGGCGCACTGCAGGCATGCTGATCACCTGACCATGGCCAGAGAAGCAGCCTGAATTGTGGGATGCGTGTCTACTAGGATTTTCTGCTCATCTCCCTCACTGTGCATGCCATGGGGGCAGAGGCCAGGCCAGAAAAAGACATGTGGTCCTCACTAATGGGATGTCAGGTATTTAATACTGAATGTATTCTTGCTTCAGTCAGCTGCAGCAAAAATCTTGGCTTAGGGAGCTATTTTTAGCCAGGCCTGGCCACAAAAATAGCAAAGCCCGTTAAAGGCACTGACTCGGGCACTTTTCCATTAGAGCTTGGAACTGGGGCCACCTACCTCTAGACAGGTAGACTCAGGAAGGCTCCAGCCTCCCTGGCAAGGCCACCACTTGCCAAGCCAGCCATTGGCACAGGCCACAGAAGGGGGGCAATGCCTGGGGGCCCTCCTGGGCACAAACCAACCAACCAGAGCACTGGTGAATGTGGCCCCTCCGCCCTAGCCAACCTGGTCTCCCTGCCAGCTCTGCTCTGCCCCCAGGCAGCCAGTCAACAGTCACTCTACACCTCTGCTCATTTGCACCTGTGGTGAATGCACTATTTTCCTAGCCCTGGATGGCTCCTCCTGCCTCTGCCAATTCCGGGCAATCACTTCCTTAATCATGCTTCTCAAGACTCACGTTTGATAAGAAATGTTTCTTAAGAACTCCACCCTGACCAGAGCACGTTCTCGGCCTTTATGCAGACAATGTTATCGTGAGATCCTGGATGCTGAGCTGGAAGGGGCCTCACAGGTCACCTGATCCAACCGTCTCATTTTACAGGGGAGGAAACCGAGGCCCAGAGAGGCTGTCACTCGCCCGTAATCACACACCATAGGAAGTGTCTGATGGAGAACTAGAACCCAGGTTCTCCAATTCTGGAGTCAGGGCTCTTCCCATTGTACCAAACTGGATCACTGGTTTATATGTTACTTGGAAAGAACTATGATTTCATAATTATATATTATTAAGTATATTATACATCTATATAATATATTTCATAATTATATGTTATGCACTGCTTCATGAAATCATGATTTCATAATTATATACATCATTAAATATATTATATTGTATTAATATATAAAACTATAACATATTAGAGATTTCATAATTATATTATGTATTTGCTTATATATTACTTGGAAAGAACCATTTCATAATTATATATTATTAAATATATTATATAGTTATATTAATATACAAATATATCATATATTATATAATTCTGTATTATATGTTTACTTATATATTACTTAAAAAGGACCACAATTTCATAATTATACATTATTAAATATATTATGTATTTATATTATACTAACATAGAACATATATATTTCATAATTATATATTGTACATTTGCTTATATATTGGAAAAGAACCACGAGTTTATAATTACATATTATTAAATACACTGTATCGCTATATAACATGCAAACACGTAGTTCACAGTTCTGTATTATGCACTTGCTCATGTTCCTTGGGAAGACGTGAAGGTGGCAGGCCCCCCCAGACCTTCTCCCTCTCTAGGGTTCTCATGCACATTTCCTTATGAATCCCCCCCAGAGAAGCCTTTGGAGGGTATCTTTCTCTTTGCTTTTTGGTACCTCAGGAGTCCTGGGTTCCTAGACCAGGAGCTTGGAGGGGGCCTCAGAAGCCATCCAGTCCAATCCTCTCATTTTACAGATGAGGAAACTGAGGCCCAAAGAATTTAAGTCATTTGCCCAAGGTTAAGCAGGTAGTGAGTACAAAGGCAGGATCTGAACCTCGTCCCCTGACTCCAAATCCAGCATCTTTTCCACTGAGCTATGGGACAAGAGATTGTCACAATTGGT